TTGGACTTTTTTTTTTTACTATACAATTCAAATTTCTTTCATAGTTGTCTTTTAAGAAATTGATAAAAGCCTATGTTGTCATTTAGTCTTTAAATAGTAGTACTTTTGAAAAAAAATAAATTGTTAGATTGTAGGAGACGTGGGAAAATAAATGCATGTAATATCTTTGCGATGAGAATGACAAAAAAGGTTGTATACGTGCTCATGTGGGAGCAAATTGTAGCGTTATTCCCTCAAGACAAGGACCTACTAATCCTTAATATTTTTATAGAAAGTCTAACCATTTTCTCTAAGAATATATTCAAGAAATAGAAGTTAACTTTTAAATTTGAAATATATGAAATATGACATTTATTTGAGGAAACATATACCTGATAGATCATAAAATCTCTTAATTTTTTCATGGGGTGGATTTAGCTTGGAGTTTTTTTTTAGACTACCTTGTACTACTTTTTTTAGTTTTACCATAGTTACTTTTTAAGTTTCACCAACCTCTATCCAAACCTTTTCTTGAAAGTCACTTAGTATATACAGAGGGAAAAAGTTTATATAAGGATGGAACTTTATAATGTAGAACTACGGATGCCTCTCAAAAATCCATTGGAAAAAGTAGTTTTAATGTTGAAAAACCCTTTGATTGATCATCTCAACATCAAGATGTATGACTATGAAAAATAAAAAGATTTTGAGTCTAAGAAATGGTGCATTTTACAACATATTATCTACAATGTCCATTTTCAAGATTTTCATATGTTTATAGATCTACTTGATTGTAATCATTTTTTAAATTTAAAATTTGATAATTAGATATAAAAATAGATTTTGAGATAATCCTAATAACATTTTACATCAAATTTATATACCACAATAAAATTTGAATAGCACCTTACCTCTACACCTAGAGAGGCGTCCATATGCCAACTGCGACGTGTATAGAGATATGGTGCTTCCGAATCTACTATGCTACTCCTTATTGGTCATTCCTAACCAAAGTCCGAGCCTGAGATAAATTTCTTGCTTGAATTATATACATAGAAGATACCCATTATATATAGAATTATTTAATAATTTACCCATTTGAAACTTTTCCAACTCTTATGCCTTATAGATATTTTTACAGAGACAGATATTTTTATAGATATTTTGAAATAAAACCAAACCATATAGACAAAAGTATAAAATAGTCAATCTCCTATGAGTAATTTCCATTAATTTTTTTAAAAAAGTTTATATAAGTGTGAGGCTCTAAACAATCAAATTAGAACGTATCTCAAAATTTCACTAGAAGAGGTTTTTGATGCTCAAATATCCCTAAATTGATCATCTTGACTCAAGATGCATAGACGTGAAAAAAAAATAGCTTTCAAGTTTTGAAAATAATGCACTTTGGAATGTATTTTTAGATCGTCAATTTTCAAAATTTTCAAGTGTTCATAGATATGCTCTATCTACACTATTTTTTAAACCTTAACTTTTATAATTAGTGATGAAAATATATTTTAATGCTATCACAAAAATTTCCAATATGGAAACCACATTTCTCGATACTATTTGATGGTGAACTCTTTGATTGTTTAGAGCCTCGGCCCTATACAATTCAAAAAAAAATTAGTTGCCCAAGTATCGAAAAAAACCAAGGGGTGGCAATATAATTTATAGAAAAAACAGTGGGTATTCAGGTGGGTGGCAATAGTAGGTGAGCCGCGTAAATTATTGGCGAACGCCCTACCGTTCCCAAGATCGTGAAATCCCAGGTAAAAAACAGTGGGTGGCAATAAATTTAGGGGCTCCTGTTTTCTAATCCCCTCCGCTCAAGCCATTAATGGTCGTTCAAGTTTCTAGGGCACGGTGACCCTCTCTCTCTCTCTCTCTCTCTCGCTCTCTCTCTCGCTCACTCAGAAGCAGAGGAGATTAATCAGATCCACCCCAAAGCTTCATTCTTTCATTGATTTGCTTGAGGTTTCAGACCTCTTCAAGCACTTCAAAGAAATCTGTTTCCTCTTACAGCTACAAAAAAGGTGTGCTTCTCTCTATCTCTCTCTCTCTCTCTACTGGGTTAACGGATCTGAAATCAAGTCCTTAAACCCCATTCTTACAGCTCTGAAGCCTGGGGTTTCACCGTTGCAAGAATGGTGTTTCAGGCCCCTGTAATCTCACTTAAAGGGGGGGTCTTTTGTTTCTTTGTTTCTCTCTTGAAGACCAAAAGGAATTGCTCTTCATTAGAAAATAACAGTTTTGATTTGGGAATTCTCGCCATGTTAAATAATTTTCTATTCCCCATTTTTCGTGCTATAATTCTCTCCATGAGAGCGTTTAGCTTGCCCTAATTTCTTATCCAACAAAAGATAATATAGTGATGATAAAAAAAAAATTTAGAACCATAAGAAACCCATGAAAATCGGATTTGAACTACTTATATGGCCTACTGTGACCACCTAAGTAGCAGGGGTTTCATGGCATGATCATAGTCAATGTCACGAGTTATATATGAACTTGATTTTGATTGACTTGTTTTTATAACCATAAAGTTACGGTTCTCTTGTGATTATTCACTTGCTTAGATTATTGGGGACGACTGCTATTTGCACCCGTGTTTGTGCTATCTGCACCACCCTTGTACGAGGGTAAGTATTGTGTTCCTGGTAATCCTGCCCATGTTTTAGGTGGAAATATTAGAAAATTGAGTCCGATGCGAAAAAGCGGGTGTGAATAGCAACCCTCTCTGATAAATTCGGTTCCACCTTTATTTCGTTAGACTATTTTTTTACACCCCACAACAAGTTAAAGGTTCTGTTATGTTTAATCTCTTGTTTAGATTATCTATGCCATGGAGGAGAGTGACGCTCACAGTCCAAAATTAGAGGTTAAGAGCACTAAAATGCTCCCACCACCAACAGAGAACTTCTTTCAAAGTCGAGAAGAACTTCTCAAACACGTCCGCGATTTTGCCATGACACAAGGTTATATGATATCGATTAAGAGATCAGATAAAGAGAAGAGAGTAATCCTTGGATGTGATAGAGGAGGCACCTACAGAAGTAGGCTTAGTGCTGCACAGAGTAATCGTCAAAGGAAAACATCTACTCGCCTTATAAGTTGCCCCTTTGAACTTCAAGGTATAAGAATGAGTGAGGGCATATGGGTGCTCAAAGTTAAGAAGGCAGATCACAATCATCCGCCTTCAGAAGATGTTTCTGCCCATCCTTTTTGTCGTCGGTTTTCAGAGGAAGAGGTTGTGCAAATCAAAGAAATGAATGCAGCTGGTATAAGGCCACGCCAAATACTTACAACACTTAGGCAAAGTAATCCAAATCTTAAAGCGATATCAATGGATGTTTACAATATCAAAGGTAAGATTCGTCGTGAGAATCGATCGGGGCGTAGCCCAATTCAGGCTTTGTTAGATGAGCTTGCTCATTGTGGTTTTCTCTACTATTTCCAATGCGATGAAGAAGGCCAGTTGACACATCTCTTCTTTGCTCACCCCATTTCAGTTGTGTTGAGCAAGAGCTACTCAAATGTGTTTATAATGGATTGCAGTTACAAGACAAACAAGTACAAGATGCCATTACTTGATATTGTTGGGGTAACAAGTTTTAATACTTCTTTCTTTTCATGTTTTATTTTTTTAAGCAAGGAGGAGGAGGAAGATTATGTATGGGCGTTGAAAATGTTTGAGGCCATGCTGGGTGGTGGAGCTGGCCATTCCCAACCTGCTGTGATTGTATCTGATAGGGAAGTGGCCTTAATGAGAGCCATGCGTGTTGTCTTTCCAGCCACTGCAAATCTTTTGTGCGTGTGGCGAATTGAAAAAGATATTGTATCAAACTGTAAGCCTCACTTTAAAGATGGAGACAATTGGTCTGGATTCTTATCTTCTTGGACTAATTTGATAAACTCTCCAACTGAAATAGCGTATCATGAAGCATGGAGAGCATTCCAAACCCAGTTTAATGAGAAGATGGTTGCTCTCAATTACATTGCAAGTACTTGGCTTCCTTTTAAAGAGTATTTTATAAAGGCATGGACAGAGAAGCATCTTCACTTTGGAAATCGAGTCACTTCTAGGGCAAAAGGCGCACATTCAATGCTAAAAAGCCATCTGCAATTTTCAGTCGGGGATCTTCAAGTGGTGAAAAACAAGATTTGTCTTGCCACTGAGATGCAATTTCAAGAAATCAAAACCCGGCTTTCAATGGAAAGAATTCGAATCCCACACGATTTGCGTATACCGTTCTTTAATGAGCTTGTTACCCATGTGTCGATATTTGCATTGAGGGAGCTCTTCAAGCAATATCAACTGGCTCGATCCAATCCATCATGGTCGGTATGTATGAATCAGTTCACAACAACCATGGGACTTCCTTGCGCGCATAGGATGAAATCTCGAATGGATGAAAACCAAGTTATGCATCTCAGTGATATCCATTTACAATGGCGAATCGACCATAGATCATTCAACAATATTGAAGCTGGGCTAAACAATCAAGAAGAGAGACATCAACAACAGGAACATCTTGTTCAGCAAGAGCGTCCTCAAAATCAGCTTTCTCAGCTTGTGGAGACCGTGACTCCTTTTATTCAAGAACCCAGTGTTCTCCGCCCTAGAGGACGGCCGCCAAAGTCAAAGGAAAAAAGGACAAATAGCTCCACTTCAAAAGACCATTCAGCTTCTGATAGTGAAAAGAAATCAGGAAAGTGCAGTTTTTGCAAAGGAGTTGGTCACAACAATAGAACATGTCAACTTAAAGTCACAGCAATCGCTTCCAAGTTCCCTATGATCTATGCTCACCCCTTTGGTACAAAATAGGTAACCCTTTGTTAATAGATTCTTTGTGAAGGACGATGAGGCCAGGTGCTCTGTTCCCTGGCAAGGGAGAACCCAACCATTTTCCCCTCCTCTTTTTGACAAAACCCGATAACTGATGTTCATGTGTTAAAATCATATTTAAGGTCTTTCTTTCTCTGGTTTTCTGCCACTCAATCAGCAGCAGTTGGAAATCTCTCTCTTCTCTCTCTCTCTCACACACACACATGCATACAACAGAAAAGGAAGATATATCGATGACTCTCTCTCTCTCACACACACACACAACGGAAAAGGAAGATACTTGACATACTATTGATGATTTGATTCAAAGTCTCAGAGCCTTGAGAAGAGCGGCCATCAAGTGGATTCTAGCCTATTTGTTGGATTCTGGTCTACTCAAAAGAGTGGTTATGAATGTCAAGGCTCAAGCGAGCGAGAATTTAAAAAATGGATTTGTGGTGCCTCTATTCTACTCAAAACAATGGTGCTTTCATATTGTCAAATGTAAGGAAACAGGGAAGGGAGTATATCTTATTGAAAATGTAAGGAAACAGGGAAGGGAGAATGTCTTATTGAAAGAGAGACGGGAAACGGCCAAAGATGTAATGGAAGTAGGGTCATCCATTGGTGTATTTGAAGATGATGCAACAGGTAACCAATTGCTGATATTGGGTATAATGTCCAAGGCACATGAATGGGGATTTAGGGTGTGGAAGTACCGTGGCACAGTCATTAAAAATTACGATAATATTGGAATCTTATTTGGAAAAGTGAAAAGTTCATATAGAGTTGAGGCTTTAAACAATGAAATTAGTGGCCACCTTAAAAATTTCATTAGAAGAGGTTGTTTTGATGTTCAAATATCTTCATATTGATCATTTCGACATCAAGATGCATAAACATGAGAAAAAAATGTCCTCAAATTTTAGCATCACATGCATGTGGGGCTTGTGGACCACGTGTGAGTAATTTGCGGCCACATATGGGAACTATGGGCTATTAGGACCCACATGTCTTTAGACTTCACGTGTGTCTTGTTTAAAATTTAGAAAAAGTTTTCATGCTTTGAAAATGGCTTGAGCAAATTTTTTAAAAATTTATAAAGAATTACCAAAAATCATTTTACCTTATCAAAGTATTATTGGTAATTGGAAAAATTATAGAGGGAAATTAAGTACCTTTCGGGGATCATATAAATACATAATACCAAGGCACCCGACTTCGACTCATTTTGGAACTTATGCTGACGGACCTGTTAATTTTTTTTGTGATAATCAAGATGTCATCTCATCAATTAGAAATGGCGCATATAGTTCTAACGGTAAGTACATTGAAATTTATTATCATTACATTTATGATATTATTGAAAAGAATGAAATAATTGCAAGTTATTTGTCATCTTCATATGTGATTGTAGATCCTTTAATAAAAGCAATTAAGTGCAAAAATATTATCAAAACATCTAGCTTTGATGAGATTTAGAAATATTTAAGTCTGGAACTTCCAAATGAGATATTTTTCTTTGATGTCTTGGTCATGAGAGGAAAAATCACATTAGCGTGAAAAACCTAATAACATGACTTTGGATATTTTTTTTGTCATGAGAAGAATAACCACACTAGCGTGAAAAGTCTCATGACAAAGATATACTCATAAAAGTTCAACCCATTAAGTAGTATAGACTTTATGATATTTCAATGTATTTGGCCCTCATGACCAAGTGGGGGATGTTGATACATGTGGATGACCATAGGGCCTCACATGTCATATTTCTCTCTTTTTATCTTAATAATACATTTTAATATTTATCGTTAAAAATGCTTCTAGAGAGAAAAATGCATTTATCAAATGGGTAGAAGATAACTTACCCACCTTTAAGGAAAAGAAGGTCACATTCTCAGATATTCTAGGAGGAAAGCCGAACGTTGGAGAACGACCTCCTCTCATCCCTTTATAACTAGGGTTTCATGGTTATGGAGAAACATACAAAGAAAGCTTGAGTTCTCAGTTATTCTGATAAATCATGATCTTTGTGATTCACAGTCTTATGACATTGCTTGCGATTCCTAAGACTTTGGCGGGTTCATCTCTTCCCCTCAAAAGTTCAACAACTATATAAAGCTGAGGTAGAAAATCAGTTGGGCAAACATATTAAAATTCTCCAAATGGATAGGGGAGGTGAATATTGCTCTATCTTATATATCAAATTTTGTAAGGAGCATGGTATAATTCACCAAACAACCATGTCATATACACCACAACAAAATGGTGTACCTGAAAGAAGAAATAGAACTCTAATGGATAGTTATGTCTATGATGAGCCATTCAAATTTATCACCTTATTTTTTGGGTGAGGCTCTCAATACTGCAACGCATATTATTAATCTTGTTCCAACGAAAATCTATACACTTGACCCATATGAATTATGGACAGGTAAGAAACCTAACCTTGCCATCTTGAAAGCTTGGGGTTATTGGACACATGTGCTTATACCTCCACAAAATAGAGATAAATTATAAACTAAAACTATAAAATGCTCATTTGTAGGTTATTCAAAAAATTCTAAAGGCTATAGATTCTATAACCATGATACTAGATCCTTAATAGACAGCCGGGATGCTCATTTCTTAAAAAATATAGATGATGAAAATACTTTAAGTAAGTTTATTGACTTACAAGAATTTGATAATGATAAGGGTCTCCAAAACCTTATTCCTCGGTCTCCCTTTAAAATTGGTGAGAATGATTCAATTGGATTTAGTATACCAGATAGACCTAAAAGAACTAGAGCACCACCTACCACTTTAGAAAAAATTTATGTATTTATGGAGGAAGATAATTATTCTTCAATGAGTGAGGATTCAATAGATGAACCTTAAAATTATTAGCTCCCATGACTCAACTGAGTGGCCTCAAGCTATGGATGACGAACTTGATTCTATTAAAAGAAATCAAATTTGGGAGTTGGTTGACCTCCTTAAAGATAGAAAAGCCATTGGTAGCAAATGGGTCCTAAAGAAAAAGCTTAGTGCAAATGGATCCATTGATAAATATAAAACTAGGTTGGTAGTTAAAGGTTTTACTCAAAGGGAGGGCTTAGATTATGTATAAACTTATTCTTTAGTAGCCAAATTTTCATCTATTAGGAGTATCATAGCATTAGTTGCATATTATGATCTAGAATTATTTCAGATGGATGTCAAAACAGCTTTCTTAAATAGAGAATTAAAAGAAGATATATACATGAAACAACCAGAAGGATATGTAATTAAAGGCCAGAAAGACAAAATATATAAACTTAAGAAATCTTTATATGGTCTAAAATAGTGTTCTAGGCAGTGGTATTTTACTTTTCATAATGCAAACACTAAAATTGGTTATGTAGCCAATATGTTAAACCATTATGTCTATGTTTGGAATAGTGAGAGCAATTTTGTTATAGCAGCATTATATGTAGATGACATTTTGCTAACTAGTAATGATATTTGCATGATTACCCATACCAAATCATGGCTAAGTTATTCTTATTTTTCAGCTTAGGATAATTAAATTTTATATGCTTAATTTTCTTACAATAAAATATGTCTTCACAACTTTATTCTTTTGATTTTTAAAATTTCTCCCATTTCCCTTATACCTATTATTATTTTGATTATTGTAATGTTTTTTGGGAATCTGAGAAGATGAACTTTGGGTAAAGTGGAGCTCATTTGAATTTTTCATCATTCTTCTCTCAACTTCAATACTGAGGTGCATGAGAAGGTTCAACATAGTTATTCTTTGTACATAATTGTTTAATGCAATTATAACAGACTCCAAGATGGAAGGAGACAGTTAAGGACAATTGACACTTGCATGCGATTAGCAACTGGATAATCAGCTACAACAAAGTCTTTTGCAAGCTTTGCTATTTTATTGACATGTTCGGTCATTGAGTCAGATTCTTTCATGCTCAAGAATTATATTTTTCTAATAGCAATTGCGCATGAGTCTCAGAAGTGGTCTCATACTTTTCAAATAGGGTACTCATCATATTTTGAACTGTGATGTAATCTTCAGACTCTAATTAAATCATCTTATATAAAACTTAACATAGTAGTCCTAGCTACTTTGTCGTCTTCTAATCATTTGCCAAGTCGTCTTTTAGCTTGACCATTGACATTGGGCTCTAAAATTGGTGGTTATATCTAGAACATTGTCTACCCTATCTTGGAAGAGAATATGTAATTTTCTTTTTCTATATAGAAAAATTGGTTCCATTGAGTTTCTCAAGTTTTGATAGTTCTGACACTGTTAGTTTAGATGCCATTTTAAATTTAGATAGTGCCTTAAAACTCAAAAATTTAATTGTATTTAAAAACATGGTTATCTACTAGTCAAATCAGTAGATTTGCCGATTCTCAATGGGCTGCAACCTTTATGAAGAAAACTCTCAAACACTTTAGTTGTGTACTTGTGTGATGCAAGAGGCTAAATAAAAATGCTGCACCAAACAACTTTATATAAGTTCTTTATCCATAAAGCTTTACATTTTACATCAATATGAGAGATCCTAATGTAATTGTTTACAATAAGAAATATGTGTTATTCTCAACAAAATAATACAATAACAAAAAATCAGACCACAATATCAGGATGATGAAATTTTCTCACTTAAAAAGACCAATGCATATGATAAATATACTAAGCAATGACAATTATTATGCACATAGAATATGTAGAAAAACCCTAAATCACAGTCTAAGCATATAAAAGAAAAAATAGCAGCAAAAAATAAATTATCGGTTTCAGTTATATGTCTCTTTGTCTCTCTCTCTAAATTCCAGCAACAATTATGTGTTTCTCTTTAAAAATATCAAAAGTTTTAACTCTCTAAAATTCCAGTGATAACTCTTTCTCTCTAAAATTACAGAAACACGGACCAACTTGCTAGTTCAATTTTTTTCAGTAAAGATGAGAGAGGCGCACAACTAACAGTAAGTAGGACACAAGGGGGAAAATAAAATACCCAAGACCTCTTGATATTGAGCAAATGTATGATGTCAAAGCAACATCAAAATTCACTCGTATGCAGTCAACTTTATAAGATGCAGTGAGTTTCACAAAAACTTAGTGAATTCGTGAGGTTGTGACTGAATAACCTTTCTATATGT